AAATCAACTCGCTTCCAACTTGTCATTCTAAAGTATCCATGGATTTGTATGAACTTGACAGACTATCAAACATTCTGTTCCACAACGTCGTCATTGTTGTGCCCATGTAAAGCTCAGGGCCGAACATGAGCATCCATGCGTATACGACGAGTGTGATATTGATACGTGCATCAATATTCGCTGAAGGGCATAGAATAACATGTATCGATAAAACTTGTTGCTTTTTGACTCAATATCAGCGCTAAGTGACGAGACTATTCTTCAAGTGTTCAGCGGCTAGCCGAGTTGATGCATGCTAAAAACATGGCGACGGCGGGCGTTGCCGTCGTGACTTGCTAGAGGCACATTCCCATGGGAACCACGATTGTGCACTCCCAAAATGTAGACATGCTGCAAGGCGTGCCACTCGAACGGGGCACATCTTATCATATGTAAACACATTTATGAATGCACAAACATATTTTAATTTGTATGACTTTTTGAATCATTAAATGGGGGAATTCAGAAGAAACTTCAAGTGAACGTTAACAGTGAGAGAGTTCGATTTGATTATCATTTCTTGCAGAATATACGGATTGTTTTACCTCACGTTGGTCTTGTCATTCTTTCGGCGGCATACACGGTATTGGGTGCTGCGATATTTCATCATGTTAGTTTATTGCTCTTCCACTTTCATTTGCTCGCACTCTGAGGGGACCGTTCACATCGGAAAACTACTAGCACAGTCAGATCGGTCTCAAAACATTTCACATCACGACATTCGTCACCATATTCCACAAATAAACTTGACAAAAGCATTTCTCCTGATTTGCCTAGCATCATTATGTTCTGCCGTCGGGATCGACCGGAAAATGCCTCCGTAATCAATGTATTCGTCTCATAAATTGCACGAAACGAAATTTATGCCGCAAAACTAACACGTATCCTTTCGGACGTCTTTATCGAGAAATATTGGTGTGGATGAGTGCTCAGTTGCATTAATATCACGCATCATGTGTGATGGCAAATTAGCATATGGGAATTGTTGTGATTGACTTTCGTAACGGATTGATTGCATTTGTTCAGTTTAGTGATGGGATATGATAGTTAACCTAAGTAAGATTGAATGAATGATTAGAGCTTATGGTGAGATATTGCTGGCGATCATTGATGATGGGCAAAGGAAGGAGATGATGACATGATAATAAAGTGATGATGATTGGTGTTAGCAAATCAACAATTATTGTTTGCAGTTCGAGATGCCATACGAGATTCACATACGTAACGAGACAGCACATCGAATCGACGCATTAAAACAGCGAATAATCGACCGACTATGGGACTTAGCACAAATGCAGAAAAACGACTCTGCTGCCTTAGCGATATCGTTCAGTAATTGGTCGGCTATTGCCCACAGAGGGTAATTGACTGTTAAAATTTTACTACCACTCACAAATCATCCTCAGTCATTCCGAATTTCGGTGGCATCCTAAACACTTTTCAACACTGCTCATCACCTTGCTAACGTTCCATGGCAATACTGAAGACAACAAAGTCTCCTGTATGCCTAAAAAATGTTGTTCTAAATCGCCTGACTTTAGTATTCTGCATTCGTTTTGTCTGTTTAGTATCACCCACTGGCGAGAAGTGGAAAAACTTGAAAAATTACTGGAAAAACATGGAAAAAACAGTAAATACGAGGAGCGACGCAGAAATGAATCTAGTTGAATAAATCTAGCTGAAAGAACTGAGCGATTGAATTTTAGAATGGATGATGTAATTCGTGATGTGTTTATCGATTATACAAAAAACTACATGACACCTGATGATATAATTTATGGTGCTGGCCCAATCAAATGGTCTATTGGCTCAAGTATTTTCTTCTCATGGACTGCAATCACCACGATTGGTGAGCGTTCCTCATACACCTCTCATATAACAAATCCTACGTTTTGCAATGATCCTCGAACTATGAAATTATTCACTCGACGGGATCACTTCATGAAAATATTTCTTCTNCCAGTTCACGTCTTGCTCATTAGTTCTATCCTTGTCAGCAACACCGATCTTCAGGTCGTATCATCTTGTCACAAAAAAATTTTACAGTTGCATTTTCAGGGTACGGTCATATAGTGCCAAGGACCGACGAAGGTCGTATCGCGTGTTTAATGTATGCTTTATTAGGTATTCCATTGATTCTGGTTACGATCGCCGATATGGGACGATTTTTATCAGGTTTGTGTTCGATGAAGACAGCACTCAATTTCATTTACAATACGCTTTGCATGAGCGCACTCCTCGATCACTCATTGACGAACTGAATTTCAGGTGGAATAATTTGGGTTCACAATACGTTGAGGAAATTTCGAATAGCATGTCTTAGGAAATGTTACAATATGTGCGCAACAATTTGCTGCTGTAGTTGCCTTCTACTGAAGTGAGTTTGCATTCAGTCAACGATCACTGTCTTGAGAGTATTTGATGTGCAACGATTTGGGTGATTTCGTTGCAGAAAAAAGCAACCTCCAAAGTCGGTATCTGGAAATGACCTCGCCAATGCACAGAGGAGGCTTTTGAGGCGAAAAAGACCAGCTCACATCGACAATATTTCTGAAGCCGGTACCTTCGAAGGTTTGATTTCTCTCATCTCATTTTTTTGGTGACATCGGCGGAAAAACAGATCGGAAACACTGCGAAGCAAGCCGAGACCAAATCGATTATCGCAGCCGTGTTAGTGAGGGAAATTCTGGTGTTTGCAAGGGATCGCTGGATGTTGACTGTACAAGCCCGATCTCGATCCCAGAATTTATGCTCTGAATAGTGCGGGATGTCGAGGTTCGATGAGACATGGCACTTTACGTAATTTTGTTAAGCATATCTAACACATCGAACTGAGTTATATATCAGTCGTACTCATTTCATTCAAATTTAGTGATATTTGTTATTTAACACTCAAAAGGGAATGAAGAGGTAAATAATTAAGTGTGAGCGCTTTCATTTTTCTTCTTATGAAAGCGGTAAAAAAAATTCGTAATGTGAACACACACCCTCGTTTCGCCTTTCGTCATCACCGCTGCTCTGTATTCCGTTTATGACGTTTCTCAGCACTGGGATTTAATCCCAATTTTGTAATTCAAGAATGTTTCCGATTCTCCAAAAACTAATAGAAAACTTAGCACTTGGAAGCATATGAATTGAAGTTATGGTCTTCAATGTAGATTGAAGAATGCATCTTCAATGCTTGCCGAATTGATCACTTGCAGTCGTTTTCTTCAAGCAATCAGCGAGCATACTAGGCTCAATCTGTTCATCTAATCATAAAGAGGCTTGCGATATCAATCGATAACGTCATCTTATTTGACTGCAACGCTCTGTTGATAGTCATGTCGGGAAAAGTTATTAATCTTGCAATGATATTCACAGACATATCCGAAATTCACACGCAAGGTAGTGAGAAAACACCCTCAGAAGATACTCGTGCCAGAGCGGACGACCTCGAAGAATATGAAGCGATCCAACATGAACGTAGGGTATCAGCACTCTTCGTTCTCGTCATTATGATTGGTGAGTTGACACATTATTCGTACCGAATACATCTATTTGTTTAGCGATAATAATTTTGCATATTCATTCCCTATAAATTGTACTGAAGTGGTAGAGTGAAGCGCCGTTTATCGAGCGATTTTGTTATGAATGCCGCCATTTCAGGATATACGGCTGGAGGTGCATTTTTAATGCAATTGTGGGAGAACTGGACATTCATGGAGGCTTTTTATTTCTGTTTTGTTACTGTCACAACAATAGGTATGCACTGAGCAATTCGTCGTTAATGCATTTTTATGTTGAGTGCAAAGCGATTGTTCTTTTGCTTCGGCTATACGAATCTATTTTTAGGTTTTGGAGATATAGTACCTCAAAATGTTGATTTCTTACCAGCGACACTCGCCTATATAATCGTTGGCCTTATAATCACAACAATGTGCATTGGTAAAGTTTCCTTTTTAGAGCAATATTCCTCTTCTGTGTCTTGCTTGAGACTGATGTTATGATGAGAACTCTGAAATTTCCATTTTGACAAATGGAATGTCAAGAAGTCAATGCGCTAATTTCTGGCCTGTGAGCGAACATGAAATGTGTGTCGACTGAAAAGATGTAAATCATTTAATCTTATGGATGCTTCAGATTTGGTTGGAAGTGCATATATCCGTGATATTCATTTCTATGGTCGGAGTTTGGGACGAAGCTTCATGACAATCGGTGGCAAAGTAGTGCATCTGGGAGAGGTGAGTGAACGTTTGATCTTGCTATGATCAATTTGTGATGTGGTAACTGCTGTTTTCGAACGTCAATAACTTTCATGATGATTTGCAGTCTGTAAAATCATGCTCGCTTCGATGAATTCAAAGCACTTTTGCCGTTCTCATTGTCATTTGCAATTGTTTTTGAAGAGTTTCATTTCAAGGTCTTTGGCTATGTTGCATTTTTGCAAAAAAATTATGGTCTTACGCCCGAGCAATTGGATAAATTGGCACAACTGCCTGAAGAATATTTACTGGATTGCCTCATCAATGGGCGGCAGCCTGATATCAATTGGATTGGTATGCTTGAAGCATCTCAATTCTATGTAGACCTCGTTTTATGAAGCGATTATGAGCCATCACTACGATACTCTCAGTGTTTCGTTCCATTGAAAGCGATAGTCAGACGCACGAAATTGGCTCAGAAGAAGCAGTTGCTTGCACTGACCTCGACGAGAGATATTGAAATACAGCTTGTCTTCAATGCATTCGCACTCATAACAACGTGTTTCAGGTCGGCCCTATGTACCGCAAGATATATATTATTTTAAGTGGATCGAACATCCACGCACTCTATCGTTCGCATCCGAACGTGTATTGGCGAGTATGGAGTCACTAGACCTAAACACTAGCAAATGTAGTACGGCGAGGACGTTGACACCACGTGAATATTACCAGAGGATACTACTGCAGTACTGCAAACAAGTGCAGCCGGATAATGCGACCCTTAATGTGGATCAAACTGAAATGTGATATTTGCTTCTGGGAGGATCATACGATATCCACTCCGCTCGAACACATCAGTGTACGTTTTCGGCAAATCACCCATCGATTTTTCAACTTATTATTCCCCTCCACATTCTTTTGGGAATTTTCAGTGACCTCAACTGTCGATCATTGCACACCTCCACTGATTATTCATTCAGTTAATCATTCTGGGCGGCAACAACTACGGCCAGCGTGAGATCCTCCCAAGCAACACGTTCTCGACTCCTTTGGCTTCTGATTCGCAAAATGCAACTGAGTATGAAGAATGTCCTCCAGTGCAGATCGTGTGCATATCCAAAACGAATCAACCATTGTATTCTGTAAAATTGAGATTCTTTGGCTAATTTACGGTTTACGGGAGGAAGAATTCGAATTTGTAATTGGGACTTGTGTAGTGAGAATATCATAGTTGGATGTATTGGAGTAGCAGAGGAGTTGGGAACATGTTGTTATTACGTGAATGTGCATAATTGTTACGTGGTGTATCACTTACGATCTTGCGTTCGACGTCAGGCTGACTGTCGTTCGATTGATAGCAGTTTCATATTGTACACATCCAATATAAATACATGAATGAACCTCTGTGATCATCCATAACGTTTGCCGCACTTAAGAATGCAAGCGAAAATTTCTGTCAAGGTGGCTGCGATTCTGAGAAGATTCATAATGAACAGCATTTCCAGTTTTCATTTACAGTTTTCACGGACCAAAACGGCTTCTCATGATTCGACAATGAGAGAGAATCTTTCTGTAAAGAGTGGTCTGTTTCCCAAATCTGGAGATTTCTGTTTTTGATGGCCAATCTTGCTCTGAGTTCGCTTATTAGTTACAACCCCGAAAATTTATCTTTCCCCTCCCCCGCCCGAAGAAATCTGCTCCGAAATGTNGTACTTTCTTGGCTGAAAATCTCACCTGTTCCCAACCCCAGTGTAAACACATACAATAGGAGTTTGAACATTTGCATTGTGCACTTCAGTAACGCTTAGAATTGTCCATGCATGAAGTTGACTGCTGAATTTTTTCAATGATCTCAGCTCAACAAAAAGAGTGAACCGTTTCGGATCATGAGAAGTCGCCCAATCAAAAATGTGCTGTTTGCTGTCTCGTCAAAATACAAACTTCTTGTCAGATGTGTACGATGATGTGAACGAAAGCATGTCCTATGACATAACGTACTATATTGCCAAACAATACATTGTTTTTCTTGTTCTGTGCTGCTTTCATCAGTTCATTCGTTTTTATGTTCCGTTGCTCTTTAATTGGTTGATTCCATTTGAATAAGAGTAGAAACTGCCATAATAAAGCTCACTTTACACACTATTGCTTTCTCATTTATCCGAAATGTTGCAATGTACACGTAATCGGCGACCGTAACCACTGACCGTTCGGCTTTTGGACGAATTGCACCCATGACGGAGAACTCCAAACAAATTCTTCAGTTGAAGCATTCAAAACGAGGATCTTACTCACAATCGACAAATTTCTTCACAGATAATAATGGTGACATGTCAGGCGTTGTAAATCAACTAAGAAATGATTTCAGCTTAATGATATTGATAAATACACTGAAATGTATTGAAATCTGATTAAATGCACTGAAATGCATTGAAAAAATTCGAGATTCTTAAACTCTCATTAATANTAAAATGTTTACACAACGGTGTTATTAATTAGCAATTTCATTTGAATACATTTAATCGTGGTTAACGTGTGAGTATTTTGGGATTCATGATAATTGTGGTCAAACCTACGACCAAACCTCCCCTGAGTTGAAATAGTCACACGCATGCTCATAATTTTCAATGCAACATCAGTCTTCCGTCTTGAAACAAGCACTAGCTTCATGCTTCATTGTGATAAAGTTTAGTCGACTTTAGCTGCTATTGCAAAGCCCGAATCGTCGGAGTTTTAGGTGCTGATACTGGAAGTACCTTCATTTCTTGGTGTTCGACAAACAGCCTAATTATATTCAGCTTTTTCAATTAACTACTATCACCAATAGTTTCATTTTAGATGAACCGGTAGTGATAGATAATTAAGCAGTCGAAGATTATATCAATTTCGCAATGCTAATTACAGGAGTGCTCATAAATTCTTTACATTTACGATGTTGTCGCCGATAAATCAGCCAATAACATCAGTCATCAGCCAATTACATAACTGTCGTACTCGATCCAGCTCAACCAAACTGTCCTTACGATTGTGCACATGGTAATAACGATGATGGACTCCACATAAAATACATACGACAGTGATACTAAAACTTATGTCAACAATTGCTTTTTTGTGCGAAAATATTCATCGCTTAATGAATTTCATGCAGTCAGTCACCTAGGCAACAGAACATCTAATGAATATACGCAATAGTATCATGCCTTACTAACTAGCTCGTAATCAAGATGAATTTATTAATAATTCACTTGCGGCTGTCAAGGGAACGACGAACCTCGTGTTAGGCTTGGCAATACGATGAAATGTTTAGGTTAGTTTTGCCTACTGTTCACGCTTTGTTCAGTTGATTATTGGCCGTTAGAAGCATTCGAATATTATCGTCATATAACTAATAATCGAAACAATTCATTCAATTCATTTGAATGGTATTCTTTTTTCAAAATAATCACCCATCTGTTCCGTTACTACCGTAGTAAAATGTAGCTAAATTTGTTGCTACTGCTGTGCGCTGAGATGTCATGTTCATTGAGCGATATAAATTTAGTATCGATTAGTCAAAAAGTTCAAAGTTCTCGTCGAAATGCTAAGTGCATGTTTCAAAGCTGGTAATTGCGAATTAACTGATGCTTATATAGCTGCATACTTCTTTAATCTCATCAGGAAAATGCTTTACATTCATTGGTTGCTGCTTGATATAAAAAGGCAAACTTTCTTATTAGTCATCAAAACTTCTCCGTTGTATGTGCCGTCGTGGTTCATGGTTCATTTCGTTGTATTGCTCGTTAGCACATTGCGAGTTTCAAACGATTTGGTATCTGAAGAACCCGTTTTTGGATCAGAATAGACAATTTTCTGATCAAATAGCAAAAAATCTCAACGAAAGAGAGCGACTCTTTGCACAACGTGGAATATGGTATCTCCTTGCTTAGTGTAAAAAATTTCGGTAAAATTAAAGACGCATTTCTGAACAGAATCTTTCAATTGCTATTCAATTCCAAAGTATTTTTAGTGAGAATATGTAAAATTTATAACTGGAAAGCAGAACATTTCTATTGCTATTCTCATCAGCTGTTTAAAATGTTATCGCTCAATGAACATGACATTTCATCACTGAATTTTGCAACTACCTGACTTTTGCAAACGAAAATCACAT